GAGCTCTGCTCAGCCACAAGCCAGGCTGATGGCTGCCAGTACAGCGGTGGTGGTGGGAGCCTCTCCTGCCTCCTCAGCAGCGCTAAGGATGTCCGACTGCAGCTTAGGCCTGCTCCCCGCTGGCAAGTGGACATCCCCAGAGGGCTCCCGGGCTGCCAGAGGGATGTCTGATTGCCATCTTAGGCCCAATACCCCGGGAAGCAGGCCTAAGCCAGCAGGTGGACATCCTCCGAGGGGTCTCAGATTGTGAGAGGGCACAGGCCGGGCTGGGGGACCCCCCTGAGTGCACAAATTTTTGTGCACCAGGCCTCTAGTCTGTTAATAAAGATTAACATCTTTTGAGTTTGGGATTTTAAATCTGAGGTTCTATGAGTAAAGTGGACCTGTAATGCCTTTTCTCTAAGCCTCTAAGCCTCAAATCCTTCATTATATAAATTGAAGTAATGTGACTAAAGGCACTCTAGGGCATTTCAAAATCCCAATAAAATAAGTATTATGTATCAAAACAAATTAAGAATATTGACTGTTTAAAATTTGTTTTCTGTGTTCCTTGACATTGAGCCTCTCGAATTAACCATGTGATATTAATATCTATCTGTAAACCAGCCCTATCATAAAGAAAACAATGCTGTCAGCTCACTTTTAAAGGACCATGTTTTTCTCCAAATATAACCTTCAAAAATAGCACCAATTCCAAACAGTTTCTTAGCAATGGGAAATATTTTTTCAGGTAACTAAGATGCTTTATAAATGAGGGAGATTAAGGAAAAAGAAAATAAACATGAAAATTATACAGAAAGAAGTTTGAGCTTAAACCATAAAAGTTTGAGGCAGAAGGAAATATGCTGGAAGTTCATAAGAAAAGAATTTCAGGCATATGATGTAACAGAAAAAAAATAACTTCTAGCCCTAGCTGGTTTGGTTCAGTGGATAGAGCATCGGCCTGTGGACTGAAGGGCTCCAGGTTCCATTCCCAGTCAAGGCCACAATCCTCGGTTACGGGTTTGATACCTGGCCCTGGTCAAGGGCATGTGCGGGGAGGCAACCAATCAATGTTTCTCTCTGTCTTTCCCCTCCCTTCCACTCTCTCTAAAAATCAATGGAAAAAATATCCTCTGGTGAGGATTAACAAAACAAAACAAACAAACAAAACACTTCTAAAATGTGATGAATACACAAAGAAGATTGAAATAAGTAGATATAAATGACTCAGGTATGTGCAGCAATGGAAGAGCTAAGAAAGCTAGAATATTTTGTGAAAGTTCTTGAAAATAATTTGAAGAACATAAATCCATTCCCATGACTGTTTGGGAAGTCACCATGCAACTTCAGTGTTTGATGTCAGGGAACAGTAAATATGGGGAAAAAAATAACTTTAATACTGTTTCTAGGGCCTGATAGAGAGAGAGAGAGAGAGAGAGAGAGAATGAGGGAGAGGAAGGTTAATCCAAATAGGGTAGTAAAATCATGTTGGACAATGATAGAAATGATTAAATGATTAAACTTAAGAACTATGTTATACATATGAAAGTTATTATTCATGTGTTCAGTAAATTTTGATTGAATACTTACTAATCTAGTTTGTGGACATATAACAAATATTAAGAGAAATCTTCAATTGTATAAAAGTTATATTTTAATGGACATAAGGGGAGTATAAACAAAATAAGCAAGTATATTAAATAGTTTATTAGAAGGTGACAAATTCTAAGGGGAAAATTAAATAGAGAATAGGGTGACCAGTGAATGTCTTACCAGGAGAGTAAAATTTTAGCAAAGATTTGAAGAAATAGAACCAATTAAATGGCTATTTAGAAGAGTGTTGCATTCATAAAAAGCAACTTGAGTAAAGGAAAATACCTATGGAGTGCTTATTATGTTTCAAGACAGAAGTGAAAAGTAGATAGATTAGATGATAGATAGATTATGATATATAGATGATAGATGATGATGATGAT